CTATCTCGCTCTATGATTTTTGCCCGGTTGAGCCGCCATTTTGAATGCTCATGAGTGTCACGCGCGTGCATTATAGAAAACATTAGAGTCAGCAATCTAGGTCTCCTATATCTATGATGACCACCCATCGTTGGTGACCGACGCCCGCGCTCATTGATGAACTTTAGACTTCCCTAATGCTTTCGTTTCTCCGGGTGTAAATAGCCGGGGGGAATTAGTACCCTCGCACGGCGCTTCGCGCCGCCGGCTCGGGGATGATGAAATAGAAAGTAATTTGGCGCAAATTTAATGTAATTTGGTGCAAATTTATAATTATGCAAATAAATACAAGAGCACAACGCATGTTGATGAGCCTACAGCGCATATTTATACTTGTTAATTAAAAAGTCAAACTGTCAAGCCTTTAACTTGTCCTTGTTTATATTCCACTATATTGTATAAATTCGCTGGGTCCAAATTTTGGGGTTTTCGAGTCGTTACACAAAGAAAAACACACTAATTCAACACGCAAGAAAGGCCAGAGTGCGACACAACGTAGAATCCATAGGAAACCGGCACAATTCTTTGAAAATTCAACGAAACTGTGTGAAATATATACATCGCTCAGTGAAAAGCCGCCATTTTGAAACTGAACTGAATATGTCACTGGAGCACGTTGCACCCTGAGCCTGCGATGATCTAACGCAAACTCCATTTCTCGTCGAAAACAGAAAAAGAGGGATTTAAGACACTTGGCCTACAGGCCAGTGTAATTAGTTAAGACCCAATGTCTAAAAATCTTGGCTACTGTTTCGTTTGTCATATGGTAAAACGCGGACTGGACTGGACTGGTAAAACGCGAACTGGACTCTATTAGTAAAACGCGGACTATACTCTATTAGTAAAACGCGGACTGGACCTATTAGTAAAACGCGGACTGGACTCTATTAGTAAAACGCGGACTGGACTCTATTAGTAAAACGCGGACTGGATCTGCCAGGCGTCTCCCTCGTTTCTCCCTTCCCTTCCACCCCTGCACGCGCCTTCCATTCGCGCGTGCTCACACAGATGACTGGGGACGAGTCAGGCCCAATGAGGCACAAATACAGCCCAATGAGGTACAAATTCAGCCCAATGAGGCACAAATTCAGCCCAATGAGGCACACATTCAGCCCAATGAGGTACAAATACAGCCCAATGAGGCACAAATTCAGCCCAATGAGGCACAAATACAGCCCAATGAGGCACAAATACAGCCCAGTGAGGCACAAATTCAGCCCAATGAGACACAAATTCAGCCCAATGAGACACAAATTTAGCCCATGCAATGAGGCACAAATACAGCCCGATGAGGCACAAATACAGCCCATGCACTGAGGCACAAATACAGCCCGATGAGGAACAAATACAGCCCGATGAAGGCAGAAATACAGCCTAAATTTCCTTCTTCCGCTCGGGTTCATACTGACGAAGTGACATTCCTGTCTTCCGGAGGAATACTTTATCCGGTTTTGTTAGCACGTTCAGCAAACGTAAGTATTTTCAATTCTTCTGGGAACGCAGTCAGTTGTACATATCGAAGAATTTCATCTTGAGCCGCCTTCAATTCTTCTATCGTAAGACGTCCAACATTCGCTGTTGTCTCGACTACAGTATCGACCACGACTGAGCTCTTCTTTAGCTTCACCTTGGCTCGAAGACATTCTTTACAGCGTAATAACCATGCAACCGAGCATTTCAACTTCCACCAGCTGGAGTGATGTGAGATCAACTTCTCCAAGACGTTACATCGTACTGTGGTTGCGTAAATCTGAGCTTCCTTTCTCACTTCGGGGTCATCAAACTTCAAAACCGGGACTTGAACCATCGTAGGCCAGTGGGTTTCGTCCTTCAAAAGGAACTCAGGACCATTTAGCCACCGATCGTTAGATATCATGGCGTCCAATTTAACTCCCTTGGAACCGTCGTCGGCAGGGTTGTCATCTCGGTTAACATACATCCACTGGGAGGGATCAGAGCCACTGCGGATTACTGTCAGGCGGTTGGATTCAAAGGTGTGGAATCTCTAGCTTTCGTTGTTAATGCACTTCAGGACAAACATCGAATCTGTCCAGTAGTAAATTCTTTCTATCTCCAGGTCCAACTCTTCTTGATGATCTTGGAAAGTCTCACGGAGATAACTGCAGCGGTTAGTTCCATTCTTGGAATTGAAATCTCTGGTAAAGGAGCAAGCCTAGCTTTTCCCATAACAAATGCGCAATAAATCTGTTCATTGGTATCTTCTAAACGGAGGTACATGCAACTGCCGAGTAGCCAAGTCGCGAGGCGTCTGAGAAGAGGTGTAGCTGTATTTCCTTGACGACGCCAAATCCAACGGGTTTGAAACAGCGATCTACACGTATTGCTTGTAACTTTGGAAGGTCAGCCAACCATCGTTTCCATTGCGCCTTCTCGTTTTCTTGAAGTGGATCGTCCCATCCAACTCCCTTTCTACAAAACATCTGTAGCAACAACTTAGCTTTCATTACGTAGGGTGCAATAAACCCCAAAGGATCGAACAGTGAATAAACAGCTCATACAATCGCTCGCCGAGTGACAGAAGCTTCGTTTACTAATTGCAACATTTTCTCCGAGACATCCGCACTCAAATTTATCTTCTTCGGTATTCCACTTGATGCCAAGAGCGCTTTCGGTAGGCAGCCGGTCCAATTCTAAATCTTTCACAGATTTGGCTCTTTCTGCTTCGGGAATCGTTTTCATCACCTCTCTGCTATTACTGTACCGTTTTGTGAGACGAAAACCACCCTTTTCGAGTAAATGGCGCAGTTGGCTCACTAAGCCTATCGCCTCGCTTGTTTCTTTTGCTGATTTCACCGTCTCTATAGCCACAGGGTTAAATTCATCTTGATGTAACTCTGCTGTTTTACGCAAGCAGAAATTAGCAACACTAGGCGAAGACGTAGCCCCGAATAGGTGTCTTGCCATTCTATATTCCTCCATCTCGCCGGAAAAATCTTCGCTCGGCCACCATAAGAACCGCAATGCATCGCAATCGCGGGGTTCCACAAAGACCTGGTGGAACATTGCTTCTACATCTGCAACCATTGCAACAGATTCTTCTCGGAATCGGATAAGCACGCCAGTCAGTTGATTTGTTTGATCTGGACCTTGCATAAGCCGCTGGTTCAACGAAGTTCTCCCATAACTTGCTGCACAATCATATACTACTCGAACCTTTTCGGGCTTCAGGGGATGCATAACCGGGTGGTGCGGGAGATACCAGATCGGTCTGTTCTCCATGTCCAATTGCCCTTGAGGGATTTTCTCGGCGTAACCCTTTTCTAGGTACTCATTCAACGTTGTCCGATACTTTTTCAACAGTTCGTCATCGCGGAGGAGGCGCTTTTTCAGAAGCAAACCCCGTCTTTCTGCTACCATCTCGTTATTGGGCAAATATGGTGGGTTATTCCGTTATGGCAGAGCAACTTGAAAATGACCGTCCACTATCTTCAGTGTTTTTTCCATTATTTGTAGCGCTTTCTTATCTTCCACCGACGGCCACACCTTGGTTTCGACCAGAGAACCTTCAAAGTCTGTTTTCCACAGCCTTTGTAATTGGTGTTTTAGATCTTCATCCGTGTTTTCACGATCAACTTGAACACGTTCAACTTCTTTAACTTCTCCAGTTTTATCCTTCATTACATGCTCACTTTCTTCCATGGCACGGTCTTCTGTGAGAAACTCACTCGCTTCCTTCAGACTTTCAAACGTACGATCTTCAGTTGAAAGATCATCAGCGTTGACAGACATTCCAGCAAAATTGGATGTCGCACACATGCCATCCATTTTTTCACCAACGGGCCCAATCACCGTCCAACTCAAACTGTATCTGATTGCCACAGAATCCCTTTCTTCTCCAGATCGATATTCCAAAGGCAAAAACATGGAAAAGTTCTTTTGAAGTCCAATGACCAACATAACTTCTCTAGTTTCCAACTCTTGTAATGGCAGATCACGTAAATGAGACCAACTTCGAACGTCTCCTTTCTTTGCAATGCAGGCTTCCGAGATCGGCATTTGATTGACAGTTCTAACGTTTGACAACTCGATCAGTGTCTCACCATCCAGTGAGGCCACCTCAATGTCTATCAATTCACTTCTTACTTTGGTCGATCCGGTCATGCCTGACAATGTGAAGTCCAGCTTCCTTCCACTTGCTGCAAGTTGTTTCTTCAAACGTTCATGGCAAAGCGTAACTTCAGATCCACTGTCTAAAAGTACATACGCTCCAATGGCGGGTTGATTACTTCCCTTTGCTCGTACTTTAAGAGGAACAACACTTAAGCAGACTAGTTCACCGGCCCCAGTTGCGACTGTTACTTTCACTTCTTGTTCTCTTGTTCCGCCAGTCGTTTCAATTGTGTCTGGAGGTTTCTGGTCTTCTTTTGTTTCCTTAACAGCAGCTTCAGGTTGGGGTGGGTGTGTGTGTGTAACAATGTGTTATGTCCTTTACTGCATCCTTCTACCAGACATTTAAAATGAATTTTAGGACATTTTCTTGCGTAATGGCCTTCACTGAGACACTTAAGACAAAGTTCTCGTTGTTGCACAACTTTCTTCTTCTCTTGATGGGGAAGTTTTTTGAATTATCGCATCTCCAAATTCTATGGTTGCCAGAACACATCGTGCATCGTTGCGAATTCCCGCTTCCGTCCTTATGACTCTGTTGATTATCCACTCCGGATGCAAATAAAGATGATCTTCAGGAGGGTTCTCTCGATCCATCTTTTCTCCTCACATCTTCCTTCGGTTTAACAATACTCGCACAAAGATCTTCCCCAAACTCATTGTTTACAAGCGTTGCTCTTTTCTTCACGAAGTGGAGGAAATCTTTAAACTTGGGTCTAGAGCCAGATTCAATCGTCGTACCAGCACGCTCTGTCCATTTTACTCGCAGGAATAATGGCAGCTTCCGAGTCAACTCTCGCAAGGTGTTGACGTGATTCAACTCACTTTCATATTCAGGCCCCAATACTTGTCAACGTTCTATCTGCAACCTCTAAGTGCCTGGAAAACTCCAGCAAACTTGCTCCATTGGCTTGTTTCAGTGGTGGTAAGTTTTCAATTGCATCACGGGCTTTATTATTGCAGTGTTGAATCAAGAGTTGCAATCGAATGGAATTATCAGGGTTGTCCTTTTCTAGGCATGTTTCAAAATTATGCATGAAGGAAGCATAATTTATTGCATCACCGTCAAAGTGCATGTACTTAATTTTTGGCATAGACACGACTTGTCGCAGTGCTCTCACCATCTCTTCCCCTGTATCTATTTCTTTAACTGCGGGTTGTTGGACCTTCCCTTCGGGGAAATATGTTCTAGGAATCTGCGATAAAGGTATATTAGGTGACTGTAGGGGTTGTTCGTGCTGCATATACGTGTGGGTGGGTTGCAATGGCATATTACACTGTTCGACTTGCCTTTTGGGTGAATATGTCTCAGAAACTTGTCGTGAAGGGATATTAATTGACTGTACCGGTTTTTCTTGTTGAGGGTATGTCTGTGTCAGTTGCAATTGCACATTGTACTGTTCAGCATGCCTTTCGGGTGAATATACCTTAGAAACTTGGGGTGAAGATATATTAGTCCCTTGTACTATTTGCTCTTGTGGTACATATGGTTGTGAAAGGGGTGATAATCCTTGCCCTTGTTGATTCATTGAGAGTGTGTTTTTGTTAACATTTTCATGCTCAGTATTGTTATCTGATTCTTTCTCATAAACATTCAAACTTACGATTGCTCGTTCCTCTTCCATTCGGGCTTCCAGATATTCTTTCTCGAAATTCAACTCTGTCATTCTTCGTTCGAGTTCGTGCTGTTTCAGTAGTTGGCTTCTCTTCAACTGAACGAGCGCTAACTGTTCTTTCTTTTTTGACACAGTTGAAAATTTTGAACTGTGACTTGACTTACTTGCCAAGGTCAAGTCACAGTTCAATGAACTAGCACCTTCTCCCTTTTGTCTTGACGCTAGCATTAGTTTCCTTCGTAGAGACATCAACTTCGACTTGCAATATCCTTTTCCTCTTCGCTCATGAGTACCTCCATGTATTGTTCGTGCTTGCTGACAAATTCTCTCCAACATTCATCGTAATGCTCTTTCTTTGTCTTGATATTATCCACTGGTTCACCAGCATAAATTTCCACCTCTATCCATCCTTTCGTCTCTGTGAGGGTGTTCATTAAGTGTATACGAGTCTTAAACAAGGCATTTATCTTCTCCTTTTCCATTTCTTCTTTATCTAACCGAACATCTCTCCATGTACCTTCAATGCATCTTTGTCCAGGCTAGGACCTGGCTGGGTTATCCTCAGTTGGTTCCCTATCAAGTGCTGTTGGCCACGATCGCACAGACATTACTGTTGATCATACGGTATGAGTTATAAAGTTATAACACAAATGTACCCAGAAACATGTTCCTGAATAAAATTAACAACTTATATTCCCCGTCCCTGACAATAAATATAGTCCAAACTCACCGTCCCTGACCATATATACACTCCAATATTCAGTTCAAACAGGAATACTCTGTATAATACAAATACACTGTCCCAGACGATATAAATTATCCTTCAAGTGAAATATAGACCTTCAGGTGAAATTTAATCCAAAATACTCGTTCCTAACGAGAAAATATACGTCTTTGATGATAAATATACTTTACAATGACCAGATCTTCAGTAAATATAGTCAGATATAACCGTTTCTAACGATAAAATGTAGTTCCAAGGCACCGTCCCTGATGATAAAATATATCCGAATATACACAGTTCAAATGCACCGTCCCTGACGATAGAAATATACTTTTAAATAAGCCAGATCTTGAAGTGAAATATAATCCAAATAACCCGTTCCGAACGAGAAAATACAGTTCAAATGCACCGCTCATGACGATATAAATATACTTTTAAATAAACCAGATCTTGATTCTTGAAGTGAAATATAATCCAAAATAACCCGTTCCTAACGACTCTGACGATCAATATACACTTAAACTAACCAGAAATACAATCCAATAAACTTGTACTTGGCACAAATGTACACTCCAAATAACTAGTCCAAATATCGATCCAAACTCGTAGAAATATGGTTCTAAACTGTTACTATAGTCCGACTATAGCACCTGATGTTGAATAAAATTATCATATATTTGAAACAAAAGTCACATTATACAAATCTTACGTTAAAATTATCAAATTTTACGTTTAGAACCGTTGGTTCTACGACTAAACAAAAACTAAACAAACACCATGGCCGCCAAAAATGCATCCATTGCGCATGCGCAAGGCGGGAAAATCCATACGGTAGCTACAAACTGTTTTATTATACATTGGCCATTGCATTTTCATTAACTCTTTCGACAAACAATCAGATCCGTCGCAAAAAACAATATTACAATATCTTAAAATATTACAATAACGGCACAAAAATATTGGAAAACTCATTTACCTACTAAAGTTCCGATAAAACGCAAAAAAAGGCTTCTTTTTGCATAAACACCTTTTCTTGTTTTTTTATATTCGTGTATTTAAAACTGCTGCTTGCCAATAAAATTACATACGGCTGGCTCAACCTACACGTACTCAGTTATCTGCTAGTAACTAACTGTGTTATGTGTAAGTTGCGAGTTGCCACATTTACCTGTAAGCTATTAAACCAATCAAAACGCGTGCAAAGAACTACGATGTATAATACTACGGGTCATTACTGTACAAGTTTAGCATTTCAAAGTTTTCAATTTTTCACCACATTATACTCAGGTCCGAAAGGGAATTTCGTGATATTCTCAACAGTGCCATCTTCTTTGATAACCAATACATCATGTTCTCTGTATGCGCCCGCCCCAGGCTTCCCCTCTGGCATTGTAATATGCGGCTCCATCGATATGACCATATTTGGCTGTAACACTGTCTCAACGTGCTCACGCAGCTCCAAAGCCGCCTCGCGACCGTAATAATGGTTGAGTACTCCAAACGAGTGACCATACCCAAAAGTACGATAGTTCAGAAGATCGTGCTCTCGATAGATTTCGTTCAATTCATAAGCAACGTCGCAACACCTCACTCCAGGTTTTATTAACTCCAGACCCCGACGATGAACTTTGCAGTTGATTTCCCATAATTCCATGTGCTGATCGCTGGACACGTGGTCAAGAAACAGCGTGCGTTCCAATGCCGCATGGTGTCTACAATAAACATAATACAAACATATTTTATAGTGAAGGGTTTTTCGAATGTAATTTATGTACTTTTTAAAACACGAACAGGAGTGCTTTACCAGATATAAAACACGAGGCGACAGCCGAGTGTCTGATACCTGATAAAGCATGGACTGCGACTGTTTGAAATGGCTTATTAAAAAACGAGCCATCGTATGAATGCATAATGACGTCACAAAGCTTGATGCCCGCGAGGAATGCTGGTCTTAGTAGTCACCGCCTGAGAAAATTTCGATAGTGGCCATTTTGAATTGTTTAATTTTCCCGGGGGATGACTACTAAGATCATCATTCCTCAGTCGCTTTCAAAAGAGAAAGAGGAAAACGAGAAAAAAACTCTTTGTTCATTATCCCATCATGCATTGCCGGGCAATGATATCACAGCCACTGATCTATATAGATTGCAATTGCACTGCACTGTGCCCAACGAAGGGCATGTGGAGGAGGCAGGTCTAAGCCGAGAAAATCAAAGCTAAAGTTTAAGTTTGATAGTTAAGTTTGATAGTTTAATAAAATCTCACTTTTTGCAGTTAAGTTACTGAATTACAAGTTGATTACAAGTGTAAAATAGAGGTATAAATATATACATGAATTAAGATTATAGGAAATCTAACAACAATAGGAATAACTAATCATTTACTATAAGACTACTAGCTATTAATTAAGAAGGAGTTTTTAAATCGTTCGGTTTTGAACTTCGGAACATCAACTGTTCTTTCATTCCTTAGAATATAAAAAGGCATTTTCTTACTTATAGATATAAGATTAAAAAGTTTATGATTAGGGTTCGCCAAGATTTTATTAAAAAAGTTCTCACAAGATTTATTTCTTCTCTCTCGGAGTGTTGAATATCCGCTCATAACAAGGGAGTCTTCGTATTTAAATCCTGGGTGCGCAATTGAGAGTGCACGCTTTTGAATTCGTTCGATATCGTCATTAAGATACGTTGGCAAGGAATAATTGAACACATTTGAAGCATATTCAAGGACCGGTCGAACACATGTCGTATAAAACTGTATAATATCTCTGGCTGGGACGTTTGCACGTTTTAGCTGAACCAAGAGATATAAACGCTTACAGCATTTCGATATCTTTAATCTTTAATCTGATACTCCTAAATCAGCTTACACTATATTAGGAGATACTTATATATGTATATACATTAACAAAATAACTATGAATTATATATATGAAAAACTTTAAAAGGTAAAAATGTACAATAAAAGTGACCTGCCAAAATTATACTAATGCCCTTAATGCAGTTAATGCAGCACTTTTAAAAGCGTTGATATTCGCAGGCAGTTCGATAAAAGGGAGATTGTTCCAGGTTACAATGGTTCTTGGGGAAAATGAAAATTTAAAAATATCATTGTTACACGAAACTTGCCGAAAGGGATGATGATTTGAAAGTCTTGTTTTTCTTTTTATAGGGCACACTTCAGGGGGGAAGTTTAAATCAACGCAGCCTTGGTGGATCTTGTAGAACATACACGACTGGTTAAGCAGTCTGCGCCGTTCAAGTCTGTCCCATCCTAAATTGTTGATCATTGGGGAAACATGGCTGTATCTGGAAAAGTCGTTATTAACAAATCTTGCGGCGCGATGTTGAATCATTTCAATCTTCTCAGAATTCCGTTTAGTATGAGGGTTCCAGACGCAACTAGCATATTCAAGCTTAGGGCGGACTAGACTGAGATAGGCTCTAGCTTTAACTGTAGGAGAGCAGCTTCCTAAGATGCGTTTAAGTAGGCCAAGGGTGGAATTAGCTTTTTTAAAAATATTGTCACAGTGTTCATTCCAGCGCAAGGTGCTAGTAATAGTGACCCCTAAATATTTTGTAGAACTTTCTCTACAGATAATTTGACCATTCAAACAGTAATTGTACATGTGAGGGGTTTTCTTAGAGGTTATTCCTAGGTGGTAACATTTGAATACATTGCATTTAAGCTGCCAGCAATCGACCCAAGATGATAGACAGTCTAGATCGTTTTGTAGAATTTGATAATCCTGGCGGTTGTCAATTACTTTATATCAGGGATGCCGGAACCACGGGTGCAGCGGGTGCAGTTGCACCCGTTGCCTTTTGTCTTCACAACTTTACGGGTGCACTACGGGTGCAGAATACGGGTGCAACGGGTGCACAAAGTGCCCTTTTTGCGTGAAAAATTTTCATTAAAAATTGCATTTTTTGCGCAAAGGGCATTTTTGAAAAATTCAATCTATGTTATTTCCGGAAAAATGTTTTAATTTCCGGAAAAAATAACATTTTCCGGAAAAATTTTCGGTATGTCCGGAAAATTTTTTTCGTATTTAGGAAAAATTGTGGTATGTCCGGAAATTTTTTTTACCCCTAAAATGGTACACTGACCAAAAAAATTTTGGCGACGGGGTGGGGGGGGGAGGTCGCCAAAAATAATTTTTAGATGCCCTTTCATTTTCATTAGTGCCCTTTTGTTAAGGAATATGCCCTCTTGTTAACCAATTGCACCCCTTGCCCCCAGCAACTTCCGGCATCCCTGCTCTATATAGAACACAATCATCAGCGAAAAGACGTAGACTTGATTGAATATTGTTGGAAATATCACTTATGTATAGCAGAAATAACACTGGACCTAGAATGGATCCATGAGGTACTCCAGAGATAACAGGTTTGGAGGAGGAGTGGGTTCCGTTAATTGAGACAAGCTGAGAACGATTTGTAATGAATGCTTTTATCCACGTACGTGAGTTCCCTCTGATTCCATAGTAGTCGAGCTTAGTCAAGAGACGCTCGTGCGGTACGGAGTCAAATGCTTTCTTAAAATCTAAGAGAATCACATCAGTTTGATTCCTCAAGTTGATAGATTTTCCCCAGTCATGAATCGTCGA